GGAAGGAAATGAGGGAGAAATGAGAGAGAAATGAGAGACGAGAGAGAGACGAGAGACGAGAGAGACCCTCACATCTGAACAATCACAATTGTAGTATGAGAGTACTATGCATCCTGGAGAAGGAAGTTATCCCGAATTGGTGTAGTGTTTGTACGTGGTAACCCATCCGTTCCATTGTTCGTTGAATTTGGTCATGTTCCCTTTCTTTGCCCATTCCTTTTCATAGCAGTATATAGTGTTTATTCTGTTAAGCAATTCTTTTGCTGAGGGGATAAAGTCACTTTTCCAATCAGTCGCAATACATAATTTTGCTGCAATCAAAGTATTAATTATAGCTGCTGTCGAAGGGAGTTGGTTCAGGTTTGGTAGTAGATGAAGCAAGAAAATAGCAGGGCCTAGAGAGAGTTGTAACCCGGAGATAGTGTGTATTACATTCTTCACATAGTTCCAAAATGTGCCTAGCTTTGGGCAGTCCCAAAAAATATGTAATATTGTACCCCTTCCACTGTTGCACCTCCAGCATGTAGGGGCAACCGTTGGATATATTTTACTCAACCTGTTGGGCACTAAATACCATCTCATTAACACCTTAAAGTATGCTTCCCATAGATTAACACATTTGGTGGATTTTTTGGTAGTTGTTATCGCAGATAGCCAGTCTTTGATGTGGAATTCCGCACACAAGTCTTTTTCCCAGCTTAGCATGTAAGGTAATTTATCATCCTTGGATGTATGTAATTGGGCTAGGTAGCATAATGAGAGGAATTTCGGCGGAGTGCGAGTTTTACTTATATTATAACAAGAGTGACCTATTGAACTAAGTGTCGATAGGTCCTGATATTTTATAGTTGCAGTGTTTAATATATGTTTTACTCTCAAGTAGAGGAAGATATCCCTATGTGGTAAGTTGTGAGAGACTTGTAAGTCAGTAAAGGTGCGAAGACCATTGGGGTTATACAAGGAGTAAACGTGGGTTAAGCCTTGTTTAGGCCAGTGCTGTATCGACAAGTCTGGAGATATCGTGGACAGGACTCGTAATGGGGCTAAGTAAAGTAGTTCTTGATTGGAACAGAGGTACGAGCTCCATGCCTTCCAGGAGTTCAGAAGAAATTTCGTGCATGGCAGTGATGAATGGGTAGGGCAATTTTTCGTAGCCCACATAGTATCAGATAGGGAATGGAGTTGGCTACATGCTTGTTCAAGTTTAAGCCAAATTGGGCTGGCTTTTCCTGTCATTATGTCCAGGCTCTGTGCAAGCGTAGAGGCTTTGTAATAGTTAGTGATATTAGGAACGCTTAGGCCACCTTGATGGATGGGACACCATAGAGAGTGAAAAGTGACTCTCTGAGGTTTTCTTTTCCAAATGTGCGCGTTGATTGTTGATTGGAATTTGGTAAGAATTGATTTGGGAAGAGTGATGGGAAGTGATCTGAAAAGATAGAGTATATGAGGAAGCGCCATCATTTTTACCGAATTCACTCTGCCTATCCAGGAGGTGTTCAGTTTATCCCAAGATTTCAGTTGGTTGGATATTTTCGATATGACTGCCTCATGATTTTCTTTTATGGTTTGAGAGTTTGATAACATAAGTTTGATGCCTAAATATGTAACGGAAGTGTTGCGCCAATCGAAAGGGAATTGTGATTTCAAATTAGCTATAACGTGAGACTCAAGGTTCAGAGGAAGTATTTGTGTTTTACTGATGTTTTTATAAAATGACAAGTTACAATATGTGGCAAGAGTGTGCATGAGGTGGGGTATGGCAGACCTCGGGTCTGCTAGAAAAAGAATAACATTGTCTGCAAATAAAGCAAGCTTCTGCTCCCCTGCTGGCGTGATAAAGTCTGGAAGTAAGGGATCTTGTTTGATCGTACGAATGAGTGGCTCTAAACATAAAATAAATATGAGGGGGGATAAGGGGCACCCTTGTCTCGTACCATTTGAAATATTAAAGCTTTTAGATGAAAAACCTGAGTTGAGAACTTTCGCTGATGGCGAGGAGTAAAGGGCCATAATGCTTGTGATAAAGGGTTCAGAGAATCCATAGGCTTGTAGGGTAGTTTCCATATATGTCCAATTTAGGCGATCGAAGGCCTTTTCTGCGTCCAAGGCCATTAAGACCCCGGACATACGTTGACGATTTGCCCAGTTGATGAGATCCATGCAAAATCTGGTGTTATCTCCCACCTGCTTGCCAGGCACAAAGCCTGCTTGTTCTTCCGAGACCAAGGTAGGCAGCAAGGGTTTCAATCTGGAGGCTATAAGTTTTGCGTAGAGTTTCACATCAGCGTTTAACAACGAAATTGGTCGTAGATTACCACATGTCGTGGGTGGTTTGTTCGGCTTGGGTAGGGTGATGATGTATGCTTCCAACATAGTTCTGGGGAAACAGGCAGTTTCTTTTATTTTATTAAAAAGTTTGGTAATGTGCAGGGATAGGTATGGTTCTAATTTAAGATAATAGTAATTCGGGAGTCCATCTGGATCAGGGGCTTTGTGTTTAGGAAGGGATTTGATAGCCGCAACTACTTCAGATTCCGTAAATGGGGCTGTAAGCGAGTTATTTTGTTGCTGTGTGATTTTTGGCAGCTGTATTCGTTCTAGAAAAGTTAGAATTTCTATTTTGTCTGGAGTGTGCGTGTTCTCATTTTTGTCTAGGTTGTATAGATCATCGTAAAAAGATGCCAGTTTGTTCACTATGTCGGTAGGATTGTATATTTTTATCTGTGATTTCGAGAGAATATATGGGATTTTCGTTTGAAGATATTTGGACTTCAGTTGACTTGCTAACAATTTGCCGGCTTTATTGCCCATGCCATAATAGTGTCGTTGAAGTTTCGCTGTATTCGTAGTGAATTCTTTGACTTTAAGTTTTAGAATCTCTTCTCGTGTTTCCGTTATTTGCTTTGTCATGGTACGAGAAGGGGATGATTTGTTGGAGTTTTCCAAGGTCCTGAGTTTCTGGAGCAGTTTTTGCTGTAAATTATGAGATTTCTTTTTGTTGAGTGACCCTATTTTAATAAATTAGATAAGGAGAGGGAAGGAAGTAACGAGAAATAAGTAACTTTGTACAAAGATATCTTCTTTGGAGAGAAGATGTAATTTGGTCATGCTGAGAGCACTGTATGTGTCTCAAATCGTGACCAAGGGGACGAGGGAGAGTTCCTTCAGCCTGATATGAGTCGCGCTACAGTGGGCAACTGCAGTTAGAGAAAAAAGAAAAAAGAGGTGACCCAAAGTGGCAGGAAATTGACGATACTTATATGAGTAAAGAAGGTGATGCTGACATCTAATTGGCAGTGTTATCATTTATTAGCTATTGTGTCATCTGGGCTGGAGGGTGCATTCGGCAAGCGATCGGTATTCGAATTACATCGGACCGTGACATGAGATACGGGAGAGTGTCAGCAACATAATAACAGGATGGTGACGATACTAATATAAAAGGGGTTGGGGAAGGTCGTTACTGCCGAATAATGATTCGTATATGCTTATTCGTTTTTGGACTGTCATTTCTTTTCCAGTGAGTATAAGACATAAACTATGAAATATAAAATATAAGGTATAAAATAGAAAATATAAAGTATAAAATAAGGCGGGTCTCACACCGTTTACAGGTAGATGATGGATACATGAATCTAACTTTTAGTCGGGCGTATAATAGAGACATGTAATCCATAAAAAGTCGTCTAGCAATGTGTACAATTGGGGTGTGTGCGCATGTGAATGCATGTGTACGGAATCTTATACTGTGACATAAATATATACAGCTGCATTTCTTAGTGCAATCCTGGAACCGTAGAGGAAACATTATAAAATAAAATAACATAATATAATCTAAAGAAAAGTACTATGCTTAATAAACTCTTGGGTGATACAAACGTGTACGCACACCCTCACAGTCAAGTGAGTAATAACTGGTAGTATATTACAGTGCTATCCAAAATGGGTCTAATGCCCATTGGCAGCTGAGCGATGGTTTGCGCTAATAGTGCTATATGCATTTAGTTACTGAGCATTGGGTTAAGCAAACAATATTATAGACAGAAGCCTATATGGACAAAAAAAAATATTGCGAGCTTGCTAATATCTATACTGGGTTTAAGATTATCACCCACAGTTGGGTGTATTGCGGAGTTAGAGTCTGCAAGAAGTTGACAGCTAGCGACCGTAATCAAGCACGGAAAGTCAGGCACATAGAGGTGCTACTAAAAGAGGTTTCATGTCACAATAGATACTTTGAGTAAAGCATGAACAGTTAAGCATATCAACATTCTCATATTGTCTATATACTGATCATATATTAGTCAGGTGGCTTCTAATGAGAAGTGAATTAAGGCATATAAATTAGTTAAGTGGTGTGGAGATTTAAGGTCAGCTGTGCTGAAATAACACTGCAAAACTTAAATAATATGTTGCACATAAAGAAAACAGTTTATCCTAAGTCCTAATCAAACAGTACGCAGTATAGGTTATACTCATCGCTTCTCAAGCGTGTAAGACAGAGGGGCAGTTCATGGTTTTGTGGTTGATGGTCCCGTCATATTCCAATCCACCTGAAGTTTCCTCGGGGAGAGATCTGTTGTTGGTGCGTCGTGTGAGGTTGTTTTAGTCGCATTCCTAAGTCCCCAGGAGGTGAGAAGCTTCATTCCTTCGGCTGGTTCGGTTATGACCAGTGTTCTGCCTTGTCTCCAGACCAGAAGCTTCGTTGGATAACCCCATTTGTAAGAAATATTATTGTTGCGTAGGGTTTTAGTGATGGTTATAAATTCTTTTCGACGTGCCATTGTGGAAGCCGATAGGTCAGCAAATAAAAATATCTGTTGAAAGGGTTCCGGTAGAGTGCCTGCTTTCCGTGCTGCGTTAAGTAGGGTATTCTTATGTGCAAAGTAATGGAACTTCACAATTGCATCTTTAGGAACATCATTCGCCATGCGTGCCGGACGTGGAAGCCTATGCATGCGATCAAATGTCCAGGCAGAGTCAGGCAAGTCTGGGGCTCATAATTTGCAAATAGAGAGTATAAAAGCAAGTAGGGCATCGTGGGAGATATCATCAGGTATACCCCTAAATCTGACGTTCTGTCTTCTGGATCTATCCTCTAGATCTGCTAATTTTAATTTAAGTGTATTGTTGTCTTCAGAAAGTTTCTGGAGTTTGTCAACGACTTCGTTGTGAGCTGCGCACAGCTCGTCGGATTTGTTTTCCAGATGGCTGGTCCTGTCGCCCAATGTTGAAATTTCCTTCCTCAATTCACTGTCAATTTGAAGAAAATCCTTTCTGATAGTAGATCGGAGATCCTGCAGCATTCTATGCAGACTACGTTCTGTGACCATAGAGTCTGATAGTTTAGAGGAAATTGACTCAGCGTCTGACTGGTCGTCCGACATGCCAGGTGTATCGCCGCCATCTTGTCTTTCTTTTCTCCGATCTTTTTTTCGGGTTTTCACCGCGTCCATGATCTTCAGCTGTTTGGGGGGTGACATAGTCGCGGGATACCACCTTGGGAGCGTAAATATCTAGAAAAGTTGCAGTTCCTTGCTTTCGTTGTCGCTATCAGGATGGATATTCAGCGGAGCTCTCAAGCCATGCGTCCGTACTCGCCGGAAGTCGGACACGCCCCCCCTGGACTCCATTTTTTTAATCCATTTATCCCAGTATGTATACTGAAATCCCTTATTAGGTGCAAAATTAGTAATGGCCCTTTCCATTTTGCTTTGAGTAATGCTTTGAGCCAGAATGGAGCATTTTAGTTATGAAGAAAGGTTAAAAAATGTAAATCTCTTTAGTTTGGAAAAACAGCACCTGAGAGGGGGTATGATAACATTATAAAAATATATTCGGGGCCAGTACAAACCATTATCTGGAAATCTATTCATAAACAGGGCTATACATAGGACACAAGGTCACACATTTAGTCTGGAAGAAAGTAGATTTCATCTAAGTCAAATAAAAAGTTTTTTTTTACAGTAAGAGCAATAAGGATATGGAATTCTTTGCCTGAAGAGGTGGTTTTGTCACAGTCTATACAGATGTTTAAACGGCAATTGGATAAATACTTACAAAAACATAACATACAGGGATATAATTTCTAATAAGTGGGGTAGTAGCTGCTTGATCCAAGGAGACATCTGACTGCTATTTTGGGGTCAAGAAGGAATTTTTTCCTAGTTTGTTGCAAAATTGGAAGTGCTTCAAACTAGGTTTTTTACCTTCGTTTGGATCAACAGCAAAAACAAATGTGAGGAAGGCTGAACTTGATGGACGCAAGTCTCTTTTCAGCTATGTAACAATGTAACTATGTAACTATGTAGAAAAGACCTATCACATATAGTTATACTGATGAAGAATACTTACTGGTATAAATGGGAAGGTGTAGTACACAGTTTAGCCTATAAGAGCCCATTTACATTCTCATATTCCCAATAATAAAAAATTATTTGTATATGGTTTTCCATGGTTTTCAGAGAATTATTCCTGTGTTAAATTCCCTAGTATGTTTTTATTTTTCCATTTTTCAATTTTGATGTCATCTTTAATGAAAAATGTTAAAAAATAGTTCCCATGTTTTATAATTAAATTCTGTTTTTGTTTACTTTTTGTGCTTTACCACTTTTCGAGGAATTTATTAAATTGTGCTTGCGACTCTACTTTTATTGTGTGAGTCATATAGTATATGACTTTGAAATAACTATATCTTTTCGATTATGACCTTGACTAGATGCCTCTGAAGACAGCAGCATATAATATCTGTAATTTAGCCTTATATTAATCTAGTATAGGAGTCTAGTTTCAGCCCATAACATTAATCAACTGCTACGAGTAACCAAAGTGCAGCATTGCATATTTCTGTCCATAATGTTTACCTTTTACATTTTACTCATGGTGAACCATGTAGATGTAGTGTATATTTGTCTTTTACAATGACAGAATGCAAAATCCTGTAACAACCTTTACAACCATATAATATTGAAACATAATTAGTTGAATATATTTTACTGCACACTGTATCTTTATAATTAGTTTGCTAGGCTTTGGTGTATTGTAATTGAATTGTGAAGATGTAAGTTTGTACATTATAAAATTTAAGCACACTGTTTAGCCCATATATTTCTTCATATTGTTTTAATTTTGATAAAGATACAGAATAATCAATTATTTTAATAGAAAATGGTGATTGTAAATATAAGACAAAAACAGATGCAGTGTTTCTCAGATTCAGATTTTGCTGATTTTCATTATATATCATGGCTTGGTTGAACTGTATAATCTACAGCACCTCACTCTTAGTATGTGGTAACCCTTGTTTTAGTGTAGGACCCACCGATATTGGGATAGTGGTGGGATTAACACAATACATTCATATGGTGGAGCTGAATCCCTAAATGTATTTGCTAAGATAGGTGATTTTCAGTAACCTTGTTACATGTAAAGCTGTATTTTTCTTTGTGTGTGCACTGTTCCTTTAACTGTATTTTATATATGTTTTGGTCTTTACAGCATTACCACTGTTTGGAAATACGTGTTCTCGATCTGCCCCCAATTCCCATTTTTTCTGTGTAGATTTTGAATCCAAACCAGATTCCTATTGGGTTGAGAACCCGACCTATACACTATGGGTACTCCTTTGGAGATGACCACAGGAAAGCTTAAATTGAGAATTCTCTTGAAGCAGTTCATACTGCAAGTAAGTATTTCAAGTTAGCATGTAAATTTCCCATGTAAAAATTAGTGTAGGACCCACCGATATATCTAAATAAGTTGAGCACTCACCTGTTTGATTTGGATTGCTTTTCCTTTATAATTGTAAGTTACTACACCCAGATGTTTTCTGTCTTTTTCCTCCAATATATGAACCAGTGGGAGCAAATAAGAACATATTAATTCAAGAGGGTTATGTTTGCCACCTTAAAGGCACGGAAGCCAAAGTGTTTAGAGCCATGGAAAAGGCTCTAATAAATGTGAGTTTGATTTCACTCACTGCACAAGTTTCACTTTATATTTGTGCACAAGATCACACTATTTTGTATATTAGCTCATTTATTTTTTATGTACCAACCCTAATAAATATTGAGGGGTCAGTGTTTTTACACATATTTTGTTAAGCGCTGCACCCACATTCAGTGTTTAGAAGACAGATACATCAACTAAACATTAAGTTACAGTTTGGTGGATTTTTATGTTATAGTGTGAATTTTGGAGTGTGCACAGAGTGTATTCAGCTGCGTTACCAAAATTGGTACTGTGTTTAGAAGCACCACCTTTTCCACATTCTGTTGTTTTTTCACATTAATTTTATGAAAATTAAATGAACTGGATTGTAAAGGACATATTGTCATTTAACAAATTGAGGCTTAAGAGACCTGTAGGAAAGGAATTTAAGCCGAATTATGGCAAGGAATGCATGTGAAATGCAAAAGATTGCCGCCCGACCCGTAAATTGGAAGTGTATGGATCGCAATTGGTAATATCAAAATGAGGCTTTGGAAACCTCATTTTACAATGCATAAAAGATGGCCACTGGACTAGAAAACCAGAAGTGTATGGACTGCAATTGGCAACATCAAACTGAACTATAACAAGCAAGAAAGAGGCTTGGAATGCACGCCATTATTGGGGACTGAATTGGGAATTGGATATATATAGACATGTTCTACAGGGTGTGATAGAATTTAAATTGATTCCAAGGTTCAAGCTTATAGGTGTCATTATGATATCCTATATTAAAATTGGTTAACTTAAGACCATATATTTCTAGTTCCAGGATCAGATAGCCCCCTCCTAAGCTGTCTCTTCTCAGTCTGTTCTTTCTCTTTCTCTGAACTTATTTGTTATATGTACATGACGTTCATCCATATGTCGTATCTGTACTCCTTTCACCCTTTCACTCCCTTCCTACTACTGTCCTATGAGTATTTGCACGTAAGCACTTACTTTTTAATGTATGAAAACACAACTGACAAAATAAAGGACAGAGGCTTATTTTGAATACCAACAGTTGTCTGGTGTCTGAATTCACACTCCTCCAAGTGCACTTGAAATAATAATAATTTGGGCAATATAAAAAAGATCAATATCTGGATCTATATCAATTTGGTGCCGTGACCCGGGGATCTGGTGGTCGAAAGACTCGGACACTAGTGTACAGGTGGACGTCCCTCTGACAGTGAAATCAGCTGCAGCAAGGTAAGGAAACCTTTTTTTCTACCCATATCAATTTCGCTCTCAGATCCACATCCTATTGTTCTGTCTGGGTAAGGAACAACTTAAAAACGTCTGATCTAAAGAACTTGTTTTCTGTGGTATTATGGTTATATTCAACTGGATGTTGTGTTATGTCTTGTGAAAGGAATCTTGAGATAGTAGAATATAACTGTGGGTTTTAACTTATTTTTATTGTTTGTCTTGTCATTTGTTTTATATTCGAGTTAGAAACCTCCAAGGGCAGATCTCCTGATCTGTGTTTAGAATAACAAAGAAAAGACTGTAAAAATTCCACTGCAGTGGTCCTAAGTGTCTTATACACTGTTTTTGTACAGTTTGTCTTGTGTAAGTAAGTAATTAACCCTTACAAGTTTTAAGATGGGTAGCTCTCAAAGCACTCAAGGGGGATTTATGGCTTTTACAATTGTCAGTCATCACAAAGGACAAGGAGCAATTAAGAATATTAAGAGGTTACTTAAAAAAACTGGCATGCCCTCAGAGGGCACTCTAGACCCACATATATAGAGGGAAGCTATGGCAAATTAAAGAGGTTGGTTAGAAGATAATGACCTAGTAGAAGTTGCCCAAAAATGGCATGATACTGCAGTTGAATTAACTAAATGTGGTTGTAGAGAAATTATTTTGGACCTCTAGGGTCCCAGAGTAGGTAAGATCCTGGGAAAAATCGTGTAAACCCACCCCTTTACCAGGTAAAGAAAGGACTCCTTTGGTCCCTAAAGACTAGGCTATTTCCCTTTTACAGAAATAAGAACCTCTCTTTCCAGTAATAATATGCAGTGGAACTTCATATAGTTCCCCAGCAGCCCCAGTAAGACATATGGGTTCATTAGAGGAGGAGGGTAGTCCACCAGACTTAAGGGAACCTCTAATTGCCCCCATTGACACCCCAGTGGGGCCATTAGCTCCACAATTTACTACTCCCATGATACCCAAAGTTGAGTGCATATACCATTAGAAAAGACAGCAGAGCTCAGGTATCCAATACTGGGAAGAATATAAGCCCTGGACACCCAGTGAACAACTGGCAATAATACAGCAGCTGCCAGCAGCTCTAGTCCAGTCTCTATCCACCATTCAAGCTACTTACCAGTGTACTGGGATGGATTTAAAACAGATTGTTGCCCTAAAAGCTGGCCCCATGTGGGCTAGAATAATTGCTAAATATACTGATGCCCATGAAGAAAGCCTTAGAAGAAGCAACATGCAAACAGATGAATGGTTTAGAACCAACTATGCATCTGGAGCATGTTATGCCACTGCA